TTTATCAGAATACAACTAGAAAATATGAGAAATATGTATTCGGAAGGAAATATGTATTAAAAACACATCAGAAAAAATCTACAAACAAACTGGATATTCAAGCTGTTCTAAAGAAATATGAAAGTGTGGAGACCAAGAAAACTGAAAAGATGATATGTTTCTGTCTCTTTGAGAGACTGGAAGAAATCCAGCAAAGACCTGGCTGAGGTGCAATTGCTGACAGTTTGTGAGAAGAAGTGTCAGAGAGAGGGGGAAGAATGAATGCTTGCAGCCTTCAGTGTTCAGTTTTTGGAATAAAGTGTCTGAAGTGTCCAAAAAGAGTGTGCCAGATTGTATTTTTTGCCTCACAGTTTCAAAAGACTGCACTGTATTTCCTTCAAAGAGTTTTACAAACTGGTCCACTCCCCTCTACTGCCAAAGCCCAAACACCAAGTCCTGACATGACATAGGAAAATCTGACAACTCTGACAGCCTGGTGCAAAGTAAACAAAATCACTAAATCATCACTTGCACCATGTACATACACTCCAATTTGGCACAACCCTGATTTCAAACTGCATAATAACCCTATCTATTTCCCAGCATGGCAACACAAAGGAATCACTCGCTTACATCACCTATTTGAAAATAACCAGTTCATATCATTTAATACACTGATCCAGAAGTACGGAGTTCAGAGAGAACAGTTCCTCCAGTACAATCAGCTAAAATCCATAATTAAGTCAAAGATTAGTGTAACCAATAACCCACTACAACCTTCCAAATTAATTGAAGAAATTATGAAAATTACATTCTCCAAGAAAATAATATCCAAGCTACATAAACTTATATCAAATATAGACTCAACAATAACAATACCAAAACTCAAATGGGAAAATGATTCAACTCTCCCCCTTAACTCCCATTTCTGCAACCAGTTCATTCCCTCTGGACAGCAGTGACAGAGAAATTCTCCTCTCCACCATCTTGGGCTGTAGAATCCCTCCTTCTCCATCATTTTGCTTACTCTGTAATATCATAGAAATCGACCACCTACCAAATAAATATAAAAACCCACTCCTCATTTCTCTAGCTGCTGCCAAGAAAACAATCTTTCAAAACTGGAAATCAAAAAAATCAATACACATAAACCACTGCACCAACCTTCTGACAGAATACACCACATTAGAGAAAATGACATCCACTCACAAGAATAGTTTATCAGCTTTTTATAACATGGAACCATTTTTAACACATTTCAACTTGAACCAAACACCTGGGGCTGAGGCCTAGTTAAACACTCTACTGTACATCCTTTTGTAATGTCATGTAACTGTTGTCTTGTCTCCCATGTTTGGTATTGTTTTGTTAATGTGTTACTTTGTTTCAATTAAAAAAAAAAAATCTGGGTTATTACCTACTGGAGCTAGTAGACAAAAGTGTTTCTTGAATTGAAAGTACATTTTTATCTTGTTCCATGTGTCCAGAGTATTTGAGACTATAAAACTGTTTAGACTTTCTAACTTCTAGCTGCTTTATAGCTGATAAACAGAACATCTTTTAAATTCAGCTGACCACAGATCAGGGCTTCTATATGTATCCACAGATTGTCCATGCTTAGTTTCACCCATTTATACATACAGTATATCTTAGCTGTGCAGTCCAGTGATTAAAAACACATGTGGGACCCCTAGTCCTCCTTGTTCTTTCATGCATGCAGTTTACCAATTTTCATACTAACCTCCCGGCATCACCATAACAACACTGTGAATACTTGTGAAAGTTGCATTTGAAATAGAGTTAGGAAACATCTGTAATGGATATAATATTCTTGGCTTTTACTGGGTCGAGGTAGGCCACCAGTCCCTTCGTGCGTTTTTCTGGTGCCACTTGTATTATATTAAGGAGTCTTCTAACATTGTTGAAGGCAAAACCAGTCTGCTCTGGTTTCACTAGAATGGTTATAAAAGGTTCTAGCTCCATGCAAAAATCTTGGCCAAAATCTTTGTATCTGCATTGATAAGTGATACTGATCTATATGATGCTGGATCTTCTGGATCCTGATCTTTTTTCAGAATTAGGCTAATATAGGCTGTTGAAAAAGATTCGGGTAAATAGTGCCCTGAGTTTTATTTATTTATTGTCTAACTACTTTGGATAAATATGTTTTAACGGTTTTCTGACATGAGAGTGTGC